TTGGAAACCTTTGGATGGTCAGTCTTTTTGTGCTCTCAGTGCGACGGCTACACCGCTCACACATCTAAGACATAAAAATGCACACGTATTAGCATAAAACACCATTTTCAATGCAAGCAAACTAGCCATGCTTTTTACTTACCGGTGAGTTTTCTTTATCAAGTTTTTCCTCTTGTGAAAAGAGGTCAAGACAATCTTTCAGAGTGACAGTTCGGCCATAATCACTCTTCTGCAAAACACACACAAGAATGACACATCATCCACACACCACCAGAAGGTGAGGACAGGATTGTTGAGATTGTTACCTTTGGGATGGGGAGTGACAGGTCACAAAACACGTCAAAGGTGTTGGAGTAATGGGAGCAGACTGAACAGTGCAAGGAACTGCGCAGCTGACCAGAGAACAAATCTGTGACAAGGGAAAAATGTTTAGGCATCAGGGTTTAAGATGGACAGAAATGAAAAAAGATACAAACATAGCACAACATATCAATATTGTTTTTTGTTTTGTTTTTTTACAGCAGATTCCATAATATAAGAGACTTCGCAACTTCCATTTCATGCAGACTTTAACCAAATAATCATTAAACAATAAAAACAATATATATATACATATATACATATATGTACATATATTTGTGAAAAAATATTAAAAATATATATTTGTGTTTTTATTGTATTATATGTATTTTTTATTTTATTAATTATGTATTTTTTATATTTTATTATTTTTCTATTGTTTTATTTTTTATATGTATTGATTTTGATAATAATAATAATAGTTGAATAAAATAAAATAAAATAAAAAAATAAAATAAAGTAATAAAATAAAAATAATAGTTGAATACAGCATGTAGTAAATGACTACTGGTATTTCTATTTGTCTAATGCCTAATTATTTGTTATTTTATCTTATTTTACTTAGGAATTTTGACTGCAAGATGTGTGTCAAATGTTTCTATAAAAATGTCCACTTTAGCATAAATGATGTCATCAGTGAAGTAAAAACTGTATAATTTATGTAACCAAAATATTTATACATTAAGATATAAATATAAATACATATACATTACTTACCAACAATTTTACTGTCATCCCTGTCAAGATGCCTCTGCCACATTGCAAAGGCCTCATCCGAAATCCTGCAGGAGAGAACGAGGGATTTAGAGGATCTGAATGCCTCCAGCTCAGTTTGTTCCTCACAGGATCTGTCTCTTCATGGAGTACCTGAATCGTGTGTATGTTGATTCCTTCATTTGAATAACCGCAGGACGTTTGGATGGGCGGCGGTTGATTTCTGTATGTAGCCTGTCCAGGAGGAACCGCAAGAACTCCTGAGCATCTTGTTGACTGTGTGAGAAAAAGAAATGGGATTATATTATATACAGTAAATACCAATACACTTAATACACTAACACATATTTTCAATACTGTGTTATTCGGGTAATTGGTATTGAACATACCTATAGCCACTGAAATAAGGCACAGACTCTTTAAAGACACGATAAAACTTCCCAGGATTCACAGTGGTTTCCCCACCATCACATTCCCACAGGCCAGCCAAAACTTTAGAGAATTCTATGAGAAAGTCACAACAAAAAGAGAGTGCTTTAAAAGAAATGTCTGATTTTAAAATTCATTCACCTTCATAATCATGACATGAGATGTGTTATTTATATGAAAGAAGTTTTATGCATGTTTGTGACAACAGTCATTAAGTGTCATTCGCTCAGTTGTGACATTGTTTGAGATGTCTTTGTTATGACACCTTGACATAAACCAATACATTATAACCTTTAAGTGTCTTTGTCATGATAACTTGACATTAATAAGACAACACAACCTGTCATAAACATGATTAATAGCAGATTAATTATCAAACTTAAGAAATCACCTAGCTTTATTGGTTAACATTACATTACTGTCACATGGTTGGTGACATTGGCTGTCATGTGGCCATTGTAACATTTTTAATGACAAATTCAATTAGTACCACTGTAGTTGAGGTCACAAAAAATATTCATGACAGTTATAATGGCCTCAGCCAATTTCAAAGCCAACGCCAACCACATGACAGTTTAACTTAATTTAATGTCAAGTTGTCATGACAAAGACACTGACAGGTTATGATGTTATGGTTTATGTCAAGATGTCATAACAAAGACATCTCAAACAATGTCATATTTGCATTCAAAATGTCATTATTGAGTGAAAGACACTTAATGACAGTTGTCATAAACATGCATAAACCCTACATCATATTCAAGACATATGTCATGTCATGGTTATGAAGGTGTCATGTTAGTCTTATGCACACCCCTTCAAGTAAAGTGTTACCAAATAAAATGTAATAAAAATACATAATTAATTACAATAATAAATACATTTGTGTTCTTTAAATAATCATGCTACCCAAACCCAAACCATGCCACTTAAATTTAGAATTTCTGTACCACTAGACCCCAAAAAATAATGTTTCAATTATTCTACCATTCATAAGCACAGGTTCTTGGTTCGAGTGTTTGTCCTGAAGAAAGGCTTTCATCAGACAGTAGTCCCGAAGACTACGAGTGTGGGAGAGACACTGCACGATGGCATTGAGGAAACACTTAAAACAAAAGATATTGTGTGAATATGTATGGAAAACAATACCATTTTTCATACCACCATATTTATTAATTAAAACATACAGTATTTCCAACGTTATGCAATCCAACTTGCCCATTTCCCAGTTGCAGCTCTCTCTGTGGGATAAAAAAAAAGTGACAGCAAATGACTGTCAGTGTGACTTCCTCGATTACATCACGAGCACTGACAGGTTTGACATTTACTGTCCCTCCTACAGTGATTGAGTGTCCATTTTTAGATCTCTGATCCAATTAAAAAAGGGAGAGAAGGCACTATCACATATGACACTGAGGTTAAGACCAGATATACTTAACTCAAACGGCGGTGAGCACCTTTAAAGGTGCCACAACACATCTTTTTTTTATTTTAATTAAGCCTTTGGTTCCCAACATGTGTTGACAGGATAGGTCTATAAATAATCTGTGTCATGTGTCAAACAAACTAATAAAAACAGATTGCGTGAATGGCACAGCACTGTCTCACCTCTTTGTCCGTCACCAGCAGAAGTCCCATGATGGATGTGTATAGTACAGACTGTGAAATGTCAACGTTCTCTGGATGAAGGCCTTTTTGAGAGACTAAGGTGCGGCACAGGGCCTGACATGAGTTATCCATTGCAGTGGATTCAGCTCTTGGCATTCCTCCGTCTTCACGCCATGCAACCTCACCAAGGAATCTGTAAATGAAATAACGAATGAATACATTGTTTACTAAGTGTTTTAAGTGGCTGTATGGATTGTCACAGTGTGCCATACATGTGTTAAATCAAAATGGAAAGAGTGTACATCATAAAACAAATCATTCTTAGATAGTAAATATTGCTGAAAACGTTCGTTTTTCATTCAGTCCTCTTCCCAGCATGCACTGGAACATTAAAAATGTAATATGGTCACATTGTTTGACAGCGTGTCAGTTTTGCAGTGATGGGAACATGACATTTTAAGTTCAGTCAAGACTTTTTTTTTTTACAATGCCTGCTACGTCATCTATTTTGACTGATTAATAAATTATGAATTGAGTGAATATAAAGAGAGATGATCATTCACTTGACTATAAAGAATGCAGCAGTTTCAATGCTTGGCTGTTATATTTAGAAATATTAAATTGAAATAGCATAACCATTTATAAAATAAATTATTTAAAAGGTATATTTATCGTTGATTTTGCTTTAATTGGATAAAATGATCACACAGACATTTTGTGTACTCACCCTTAGAAACCCAGTATCGTCTCAACAAACTTTTTTTTACCGATTGATGGTCAGTGAGCGCCAGTGTTTCTGTCTAAACATCAAGCCCAATTTTAAAGCATTTTAAAACGTTATTGTCCTCTCATTACAGCCGCTGTTCACCTGTCTGTCCTGTCGCTGTGTTTGTGAACAAGCTTTAATCATGGCTAATCTTTCCTCTCTCTCTCTGTAGGACCTTCTATAATTAGCTATATCTTCTCCTTTGCTTAAGAACAGCTTTGACACTCGGAGTAGCGTCTACACGCAACTCACAGTCACTATTAAACTGAAGCACATCATGTTTAAAAAAATATTCTGGAAAGCATGCCAGTATCAATGTTTATAAAGAGACAGGATGGTTGTAAGAATATCACACCCTTTGTTGATGTCATATGATGTGCCTTTGTAACAACCTACGTCCTACGCCAATACCAGGTTGTGTCTAAAGACTGTGTGAAAAACGAATGTTGTTAAAGGAGTAGTTCACTTAAAATAAAAAATAAAAAACTTTTGCTGATAATTTACTCACCCCCATGTCATCCAAGATGTCCATGTCTTTCTTTCTTCAGTCGAAAAGAAATTAGGTTTTTGATGAAAACATTCCAGGATTTTCTCCATATAATGGCCTTTATTGAGAACCAAACGGTTCAGGTCCAAATGAGAGTTTCAGTGCAGCTTCAAAGGGGTTTAAACGACACCAGACGATGAATAAGGGTCTTATCTAGCAAAACGATCGGTCCATCATTTGAGCCCAGAGACTATTTAAAAAAAAAAACAAAAAAAAAAACTTTGATTAGTTTTGATTAAATTTTTTTAAAAAAAAAAGATTAAAGGGGTAATTACAAGATAAATCAAATTTGCCTTGATATTTTGACATTTAAGAGGTCTTTAAAACATCCTGAAGTGTAATAACTTAAAATGTCTCCTCATTATAAACAAGCCATTCATTAAATCAAGCTCTAAAAATGGCTCGTTTGGATACTGTGCTATTTGCAGATTTGCATATGCCTGTCTCCAGAGCAAGACATCGAAGAATATCGCACCCACTGGCGTTCAGTTGCTAGCGGTGACACTTGCCTACACTGGTTAATAAACAGATAATAATCTTAATTGTTTTGTTAAAAACTAAATAGGTCCACGTTTATGAAAGTTGTCAGTTTATTGAAAACAAAACGGTAACCAAAATGCACTGAAAGGAAAACGGGAACAAATACCTTTTTATAATGTCTCAGAGTACCTTTAAATAAGAGAAATGGCAAAATAAGCATTTAGGCTACATTCAGGTTATATCAATAAAAGACTTGCAGTACTATTTGCCCTAATGCTGCCAAAGTACAATGAGAAAAAGCCTGGCCGCACATAAGATTAGTTACCGTTCAGATTGCACTAATGTTGTTGTTTATTAACCAGATCGGATGGAGAGGAATGATACGCAATTCAAACACAATTTAAAGGAAAGAGGAACTGAGAGATGGTTCACATATTTTAAGCAGATATCACACATAATTCTCAATGTGGAAAAATAAAACAGGTTAAGCAAGAAGCAAAAATTCAATCCAAAATATTCCATCTAATAGACCTGACAGCAACAAACATTCACATATGAAGTACACTAATATGGCTACATGACATTATTCTCACAGTTTCCAGACAGAAACTGCATGATTTCATTTGTCCTGAGAAAGTCAGCTGTCATGGCCACAAGTGAAATCCTGTGTTTGTGACCTGGGGGTGCACCGGTAGCCCTGGCCTATGTGTCCGGCATCTCCACATCAGAGTTAAGGTTCAGTTCAGCGATGTTGTTATAGAGCGCCGGGTCAGGGCTTAAACGCTCGGAGGGTTTGCAGTGGCTGCTTTGAGCCTGTCTGTCCCGTGACTGGACCATGGCTTGGCGAAGACAAGAAATCCATTGCTGCTTATTGAAGGAGTCATTAGCCTGCAGGCTGTGGGATTGAGACTTGGAGCGGCCTGTGGTGCTCACACGGAAACAGTTCTTCACTGGGGATGGTAGAAGCAGAAAATGTGGAATTAGAACGAGATGAAAAATCAATTAGAAAGTCTCCAATCTCAAATGAAAAGGATATGTAAAAAAGACAAATAAACAATTCAAACTTTGAATCCATTGCATGCATTATAAAAGCATTTTATAACTCTATGGTACTGTTCATTTGGGCCTCACACTTGTCGGGTTCACCACGATTTTTCTTCCATAATATTTTCATAAAAAATTAGTCCTAAACAATATAGATCTCCCATTTATTCAATAAATAATGTATTTATGTCCATTATTATTTCTAGAAAAGAAAAACATTTTCAAGCATTAGTGCACTATTTAAATTAAAAATAGAGAAAAATACATTAAAAATCCAATGAATAGAGGCAGGTTAGTGCCCAATACAAATACTATATACATATAAATAAATCATGTAATATTGTGACCACTAAATGCCTGAATATAAATATAGGACTGTTTGGTTGCTTATAAGAACATTTTAGAGATATTTACTTACTTTTATTAGGTTTTGCATTTGGATATATATGTAGACATTATCAAAGGCTACTTTTGGTCAAAGTTGATTTAAAATGTTTTTACATAATGATTGCAGTCAAACCTGAACATTGTGCATTCTGGATGTTACAATTTTGCATTTTGGATATGTTACAATGTAACCCCTTCATTATTGTGTTTTCTGCAATTTGGATGAATTATTGATTTTATTTCACAAATTTGCTTTGTTACAGCCTCACCCGTTCATCTCTGTGTAAAGAGATGTATGTGTGTGTATTGTGTGCCTATTTTACACTCTTGATGGTTTAGAGCTTAACTTAATTTCTGTGTGCTTTTTCCTGCATTGTGGCTGAATGATTAATTTTATTTCATAAACTGTCACAGTCTGCAAAAAAAAAAAAAAACAGCAATAAAGGGGTTAAACTCTAAAACATCAAGAGTGAAAAATTACACACACACACCAGTGCATGGGTGTATAATTTAACCCCTTCATTGCTGGTTTTTTTTTTTTTTTTTTTGCTGTATGGCAGATACCATTTAGCTTGTTCGAATCATGTCCCCAATTTTTGCTTTTAAAAGTTAAAAATTAAACAAAATTAAAAATAAAAATATTAAAAAATTTATTTTTAAAAATCAAAAACAATAATGTATAGTATAAATAATTTAATAATATATAAATTAATATAGAAAAATATAATAATTTAGGTATGTTGCACGAAAAAAAATAAATTAGACATTTTCATTGCCAAACTAAATAACTGATATATAAAAATTTGAAACATATTCTTAAAAATCATACAGTATTTTAAAATTATATTATAAATTATACATTTATGTAGCGGTGATGAATTATAAATTTAGTGGTGGTGATAGTACAGTGGATAAGACACATGCCTTTGGTGTGTGAGACACCAACGTGTCCCTGAGCAAGACACTTAACCCCTAGTTGCTCCAGAGGCGTGCGACCTCTGACATATATAGCAATTGTAAGTCGCTTTAGATAAAAGCGTCAGCTAAATGAATAAATGTAAATGTAAATATAAATAAATCATATTCAAGCAAAATTAGTTTATTCAAATATTTTCAATATCATCCATATTGCCACCCTGTATGTGTCATATGCTTGCATCACCTTATTTAAAATTATTATAAGTGTAAGAAGCAATGCGTTACCTTTATCATTGCCTGTAAAAGCCCCACGAAAGGATCCAGAACTGCTCGGCTCTCCATCGGGAAGGTCCTCCAGATGGAGATGAGCAGCTGGGAGGGGCTGACGATACACCTGGAACATGAGCGGCCCTTCCCTGTCCTGTGCCACTGCTCGAGTCAAAACCAAAACTAGCTCAAACAGGAACACATGCAGCTTCTACAGAGGAGAAAGGAAGATAAGCATATTCGTGTGGGTTGTGTTTAGTTATTAGACCTGCTTTGTTAATTCAAAAGTCATTTTGTAAACAGATTACAATGTATGAGGTACCTGTCCTTTAGTACTCTTCAGTTCACCGTGACAGTACAAAAAACGAGAGGCCTGTATTTCTGGAACCCTCTGGCCGTCTTCTGAGTAGCTCAGACCCCGTCTGTAAAACTGACACTCAGCCTCCCCAGTTTTAAGATTGACATCTGTTATAATCCTTTGGATAAGTTCCATCTGAGGTGACAAGAAATCAAAGCATGCATTAATAATTAGATCATTTCATTGATACATTGCATTCTAGAACAGTTAGTTCTAGTCTTTGAATTTGATGGGCATTCCAAGAGTACTACTATACAATCCAACAACTCTGTAGACCTTTTCACAGTTTGTATCACTCCGCTTTTCCATGTTTGCGCATTGCTGAAAGACTCAGTAAGTGCATGGTTATATTTTTTTAGTGACACTTTTATTTCAGCTGGTTGCATTGTTACACCTGTAGCTGGTGAAAAAAAGGACTGTATTTATGAGTGAATACTTGAAACGCTCCATCGATTCATTTAAGCTATTTCAGAAAAAACACAGTTGAAAATTTAAATCACCTAAACAATATTTGTCTGTTCTCTCTCTCTATCTTTGCGTTATTCCTGCTCGTTTGCAAGGTATATTTCAAAGCCACACACAGATGATTTGGCACAAAAATGTGCAAATAAAAAAGTATTGGGTTTGTACATAGTCCTGGCTGTGTAAATAGGACAAAAAACAAACAAAAAATGAGGATCATCTATGGAGCACAAAAGCACTCTTTAAAAAAAGAACAAAAGCAAAAAAAGCTAAAAAAAATTTATTAACTAAACTAGTGTTATTTTAGTATTATTTATATGCTATTATTGTATTTATTAAAATTGTGAATTAGTCTTTATATTTCTATTTTTCAGTTTTATTTTTAATTTGAGTAATTTTGTAATGATCTTGTCTTTTTTATTAGTATTAGTTTTAAATACATATTTCTATTTAGCTTAAATTTATTTTTATTCCAATTTTCCCACCATTTTATTCCCTCCCTAAAATAGTTTAAATTTTAGTTTACAATAACAACTCAATGAACCAAACAAGTGGCTGGCTGAATTCAAGTAGCATATTAGCATTTCTTTTCTACCAAATGTTTAGATGGTGCAAATAGTAAGAATATGCTGGTATGCTATTCAGAATCAAGCCACTAGCTTTAAGTATGAACGATCCAGGGGTTGGCAAATATAGTTGGCATCGGGCCACTAGATGGCGGGCCAGAGCATAGGCAATGGACAATTTAAGAAATGAATTGATGAAAAATTCATGACTGTCACAGTGTCTTTTGTTACTGGTTACTCTGTGTTAAATCCTGTAGTAGGACAGTCATTAACAAAAAGTCACATTTGTGTGGGGGTGTCCGGGTTTTACACTGGATACATTAATAAAGCAGTAGGGATGAGTCACGATTTTTGAATACTCGATTTGTTGATTTAATTATAGAATATCGAATAGGCCGTGCGATTATTGTCTAAAAAAATCCTGATGTTTTTGGTGCTGATTAGGTGGTGACACTGTGTTCATGTAACCAGAGGGTGACAAAAGCTGTCACAAGGAACCGGCAAAAGTAATGATTATGAATGTTTCAAATATAGCAAGGAGACATTTTAATTGTTTATTAGTGTCTGCGTCAGCTGAAATAGCTCCAGTTTGTACGTGGAAGCATCTAAACTCACAGCCTGTGGCAACGCTTCCTCGTCCGGATGTTCAGGTGGGGTGGTCTTCTGGATCTCCTTTAAGAGCAGAGGATATTTCACCAGTCTGCTGCGGGGCAAGTCCAGAAAGTTCCACAGGTCCAGCTTTCTGCTGAAGGATGACTCCTGACACAGCCGCAAGAAATGCTCGACCCGCCGGTCTTGCTTCTTTTGATCGAGCAGAGCTTTTGCCCCAACCTGGTTGCAGCAGTAGGTGATGTACGCCTCCAGGCAGGGAAACTATGAAAGGAGAGCAAAGGGCAAGTGTGGGTGAACTTGGGTGAAACTGAAGCTGCGTCAATAATGATTTAAGAATGAAATAAATCCAAGTCATCCAACATGTCCACGTCTTTCTTTCTTCAGTCAGTTTCTGATGAAAACATTCCAGGATTTTTCTCCATATAATGGACTTCATTGGGAACCAAACAGTTCAAGGTCCAAATGAGAGTTTCAGTGCAGCTTCAAACGGCTTTAAACGACACCAGACGATGAATAAGGGTCTTATCAAGGACCCTTCGAGTCATGACTTGAAAAAAGATTTGTTCATTTTGATGAACGAGTTTGAACAGGAGAATCACGAACGCGCGTCACAGAACAGAGCAAGGCGAGCATTTGTGCTTATAAAACTTAAACTTTTTTATTTATTTTATAATTTACCAATCTTTTCGCTAGACAAGACCCTTATTCATCGTCTGGTGTCGTTTAAAGCCCTTTGAAGCTGCACTGAAAATCTCATTTGGACCTTGAACCGTTTGGTTCCCAATGAAGTCCATTATATGGAGAAAAATCCTGGAATGTTTTCATCAGAAACCTTAATTTCTTTTCGACTGAAGAAAGAAAGACATGGACATCTTGGATGACACGGGGGTGAGTAAATTATCAGCAAAAGTTTTTTTAAAAGTGAACTACTCCTTTAAGGATGAAATATGGACTAGCTATCTAATGTAAGACTGACCCAATCCATCATGGTTGGGCCGACCTCTTGCACAGTCTTCTCTGCTCCACGAAGACCTTCAAGACGAGCTAAAAGATCTGATCGCACAGGCAAATAGTAGTGAATACATCATTACACTTCAAAGAAACGCCTACAGAGAGTTCACTGACATTTACCTTCATGAAGGGGTATTAAAGAATCAAGGGTTCCAAATATCTGTCCCAGCTCACTTTCTGTCAAGATGTCTAATTTCAGCATTGGTTCATAGTACACCTGCGAGGACAGTTGAAATTAAAATCTACCCAATAAAGACAGAAGACACAAACCTATTGAATTCTGGACAAACCTTTTTCACTAGACTTAGATCCTCAATGAGCTGTTTCTCTCCCTGGGTTAACTCATAGATTACCTACAGGAGAAGAAAATAAAAGGGTAAACCATACATAAATGAAGGCTATAAAGTGTACAGGTAGTTCTCATGAGGCCTCGTAGAAGATACTGCAAACACACACACATTTATAACTGTGCACAAGTTACCAGTCAGTTTTGGCTATGCTAACTGCTACAGTGTGGTAGAGTTAGTGTCTTTCAGAGGAAATTCTGACACTGAAATAGAGAACATGGCCTCATATACCAGCTCACTTCCTGTTTCACAACTAAAGTAGTGTGGTAGTTGGGCAGCTGAAAGCTCTTTAAACGCTATCAAGGTACATGAATGCCAGTTTAAATCTTTGAACTAAAGCCCAGTCACGAGAATGTATCTTTAAGTAAAAGTTGAATGAATTAAGATTGAATTACATCATGCAAAACTACATTTAGAGTGTGAAGCATTTCATTGTGTTGTGGCGTTAACTCAAGCTGCTTTATCACACCTCTTGTCGTTTGATCTCTTTGGTACTGAGCTCGTGGCTCGTAGTGTCCACTGTATCACTCCACAGCTGGCTGCTCCGCCGCCGCGGAAATGAAGAGGCCTTCTGGCGTGTTCTTATTGGCATTGGGGGCAAGGGTCGGGCCTCTGTGCGGAAACTGATTGAACGCTGAACAAAAAAACCCACAAATATATTTAAATGTGTGTGTGAGAGTGAGAGTGAGAATGAGAGAGAGAGAGAGAGTGTGTGTATATGTAAAAAATGTACTGTATTAAAAATGTTGAAATTATATATAAATATTTTATATGATTCATTAAACACACATATAGACCATTTTGCACGATTTAAACAACACTGGTCCAGAAACACTTCCTGTTTCAGTTAGTAACTGTTTTCTTTATTTCACATGTAAAGAAAACATCTTGAAGATGTTTGTTTAACTTTTTGATTCAGTTTTATATGTTCTGTTGGTTGTATTTTATCCCAGCTTTTATGTAGTGTTAAAAAACTGAAACAGGAAGTGCTTCTGGACCAGTGTTGTTTACATCTTGCAAAATGGTCTACTGTATATATATGTATGTGTGTATGTATGGTCTACCTATATATATATATGTATGTGTGTACATGATTTAAATATATATGTACACAAACACCTAGCCAGGCCCTGAAAAAAACTAGCAAAAACAAAAATGCGGTTCTCATTGTTATTGTTGGTGATAGCTAAGAAAGGTTTAAAGATTTTGGCTAAATAAGACGGATGAGAAAGAGCTGACTGGTTTTGGTATGTGTGCATAACTCACCTGTATGGACTGGCCCAAGCGTTTCAATGCAGGGGTCTTTACCGGTGTTATGATACCAGTGACTGAAGCACTTTTGTCTACTGGTTTGACTCTTTTGTTACATGGACCCTAATATGAGGGCAGCAACAGAGAATGAGGGTCAAGGTTCAAATGTACATGTTTACGTGGACCATGAAATGCCTACATCACCAAGAAATTCACTAAAACTGAGAAATTTGAGATTTCTCAGACTTTGATTGTGATGTTTTGATAACTATAACGGTCGATGTATCATTACTGTATTCAGCAGAAAGCTACTAGGAACAAAGATGCATATCAATTCATTTCTGTACCTCAGAATCTTGCATGTGGTCACTGATGGGAAAGTCATCGTCTTCCTGAAAGAGACGCGAAGCATAGCATGTCAGCACGAGCGAATAACCACAACCAGATGAAAGCAGTAAACATACGGTATATATAAAGAGTTTATTACAAATATCAGTAAATTCATAAGTATCATTAAGAGAACAATGAGATAGACATTCGCTTTCACAGAGTGGCTGTTTCTTCACCTCCAGGCATTTTTTTTTTTAATAAAACTGTTTTTTTTGCTACACGGAGTTGATTTTACAAGGGTTTTGGACACTTTTTAACAGCCTTTATAATGAGCTTTTGCTTGATTTCACTGTTTAACCCTTACCTCATACCCAGACATGAACTCATGTGGGAAGATAAGAAATATTTTTATTGTGCGTCATTTCCAATAAAGCTGTAATTTTGCCAAATTATTCCAAACGTGTGAACAATGTAGTGTATTTAGCATGTATTGAATTCTAACTATAAAATTAGCCACAGCCAGACAAAAACTGGGCCGTTTCTACCACAGAATATGATCGGACTCAATTCAGAGTCTAGATGCTAATTGGTCAAAAGCTGCTATATTCCACCTGCGCACTTCCCACAGCCATTATCTTTATTTTTTTATGGATCATCAAGTGTGTTAAGGAGAGTTGATTTTTTTTTAAAGTACCGGTAGTTGAAGAAATGCAAACATCAATGTGTGTGCATGTAGCAGATTGAGACAGGAAACTGAGTTGTAAAGCTTTTTTTCCTGTCAGCTTTTTACTCGCAGCTGAAAACAAGTTGCTTCATTCTTTCACTGTAATCTTCCTTCAGTCCTATGAACAAATGGCTATGAATATGCTATCTTCTCTAGAAGTCTTGTGTAATAATGCAGTAAAAAGTGGATTGTTATAGAGTCACCTGGTCTATCTTAACAAGTTTCCGTAGTAGAGCACAAACAGGCAGACCACTTTCACCACATTAGATTTTTTATAAATAATCAATGATTAGGTTCAAGCTTAGAGGGAGGAGCTTTAACCTCTGAGCAGATCATTTTTAGATCACCTAAAGACGGACTAACAGGAAATATCGCGGCTGTTTTGTAACAGATGCTCAAATTATCACATTCAAACATCCATTATTCCATAAGACAATTTGGAAGCGTTTTACAACAGAGACGTTGTATCTTATATCATAGACAACAACTTACACAGTCCTCCAAGATTCGGGCTGAATTGTCAGCATCACTACTTGGGTCTTGTTTTCTTTTCTTCTGCTCAGAAAACCAACAGATAACACATTGGTCTCCCTCAAAGGAGCAAGACCTACAGTACAAGGTCTGTCCATCAAAATTTGTTGTATAAGATTTATGACAGAAACAAATCTTACCCCTGCAAAATCTGACAAGTTGGCACATGTGAGGAGTCTCTCTCTAGATACAGGAGACCTGAGAAATGACCAAATAAGTAGTTTAATGACACTGAAAAGACATGAATATATCATCTGTTAGTTCATTAGTCATCGGATATTAGACTATAGTGAATCTATAGGGTACAATATCTGATCAGAGTGATAGTTCGACACCAAAATGTCTTAAATGTTTAATTTAAGCAACTATTGATGATCTGTGAAAAAAAAAAAAAAAAGTCATACCAGGAAGGTGATGAATCAACCTCCGTCTCTTCAGGTTCCATCTTTTCCTCTCTCATAGCATCTTCAGACGTGCATATAAATAGAAACGCCGGTGAATAAAATAGTATTACATTAAAAAATCAGACCAGAAATCTTAGAAGCACCTGTTCCAACTTTTCAAAGAAAAGACAAAACTCTTAATGTGCACTCTCTCCCAGCCCTCCCCTCTTCCTCTTACACTTGCATGTCTGAAACCACATCCTGTGCAAGAAAAAAATGTGTACTTCCTGTTGTCAGGCAGAACGAAGCCTAACCATCTTTCTTTAACGTCTCTGACAGTCTCTGTGTAATTACGCCAGCCATACTTCACTCCATCACTGAAGAGGACGGAAGTTAAACCAAATCTTCTGACCCATTTCTGAAAATGAGACAGTGGCGGCTACTGCTCGGTTGATTAGATCATGACTGGCACAGTTCATGACAGAGAAATGTGACAGATGCTCACGTGTCAAATTTGGCTTGTCAAAGTCAGGAAGAAAGTGTTTTTCAAAAAAGAGTCCACAGAAATGATGGCCTTTTTTTAAATACAAAAATAGGCTGATTTAAAATGTTCTTTGAAAACCTTTAAATATTTGATAGTCAAACTAAATATATGAGCAGTTTCATTTATTGTTCATTTAAATCAGGTTTGAGCAGCCCTGTTACCAAAATTTAGGACATCTGAAAATGTAAAAACAATGAATCCAATTTCAGTATTTCCTAGCAATAAATTTAAATAAACATAAAAAAATATTAAGACAGAATTAGTAACATGGTTGGAAATGTAGCCTTAAATTTAGTGGTCACTTATAATTTTTTGAGGTTGCCCTGTTTCTTCTGGACAGGTGAGTAGCTTCTCGTGCTGACTTTTATGTATGTGAACTGTGTGTGAAACTATAATTCTTTATAAAATATGAGTGAAGCTCGGCTAAACTTGGATAGCTCTAGCGAATATCAGATTGTAGGGATTTAGTGTGTAGCCATAACATTGTACTATTAGCGAAATGTAAGGGAGGGGCAAGCGAACTTGGTTTGTTTGGGATCTCACTTCTAACACAAACAGAAGTGACGTCACCCACAATCGCGGACACAACCTTTAAACGCTTAATGTCATGAAACATCCCAGTTTAAGTTGAGTGACTCACAATCCAGCTTATAAAACCTCAAGCAATTGACCTTATGCACTGCTGCACTACTTCCTGAACTTAAGCCAGCTCCTTGTTTCCTGCCTGACATTATTGGTCAAATTGATTAATTCAGGTGTGCCTGACCTCAGTAGTCACAGCAACAATAATCAGACACACCTGAATTAATCAAGTTTGGCCAATAATAGCAGACAGGAAACAAGGAGCTGGCTTAAGTTCAGGAAGTAGTGCAGCTGTGCATAAAGCCAATTGAATATAGATAATATTTTTTCCAATTGTTGACAAAGCCTTGATCCTAATCAAGTTATTTCTGCCACTTTTTTTTTTTTTGCTCTAAAATAGTGGTAAAATCAAGTGGCGGAGATTCCGTATTTTGTCTCTTTTCTTCTCTATAAAAAATAAAATCCTATGGATTGAATGCGTACTGTGCAACTTAACGTGACAAACATTGAAATATTCCTGATAACCATTTTTCTTAACTGCAGATACTTTTTATTAACTTCTTAGATACATTTTAAAAACAGCAGTAGCAAAGAAAAGACAATTAAGCAAAGAAATGTTTTCAACTTTATTCACTAACACACTAAGTGCTCCCATTACAGAGTAAAATCACTTTTTTTGTACTGTATGGTTTTTTTTGGAGTTTAACAAAGTAGAAAGAATACAGAGTTTATGTTCTACAAGGTGTACACCAGAAGTTCACCCAAAAACAAAATGGGGAGAAAAAAAAAAAAAATTATGTGCAAGTTCCTGAACCCAACCCAACTCGCCAGAGAGGCAAAGGGATGTTCCCACTGGGCCTATGGGAGAGCAGGAGTTCAGTAAGTGGGACCAACTCGCTCCAAGACCTTGGCCAAAAAGGGCATTTCGAAATACATTTAAACGTGACATCAAGTCAAGGCAGCGATTTGAAAAAAAAAAAAAAAAAAAAAACCGCAAACATAACTGATATTTTTCCTAAGTACTCATTTTTTTGGCATTAGTCAATATTTTACTCCAGAATACAAAGCAAGATGGCCCACAAATGTATAATGAGGACAGGAACAGAGATCAGTGTGAAAGATTATTCAGAGGGAGGGAGTGACAATCGGTGTACAGGTTAATTCATTCACTGAAGCCGTGTTACAACAACCAGTTCAAATAAGTTACAGCCAAAGATTCACATGCTCCCCATATTCCAAATGATAACCAGCCTGAAAGAATCACACCCTAGAGAGCTCAACGAATAGAGAAAGAGGGGTGTTGAGATATAATACTCATTATTCAGTAACTGATTAAAAAAAAAAAAGATTGATTTCTCTGGGCTCTCCAAGCATACTGATGCTCCCCATCCCCAGTGGGCCGCCCTCTCCCTCCTCTGACATGTCCCCTTCCCTACCCCAACAGCCCTCTCAGCGGATGGTGTATCTGACGTACGGGACCTCGACATCCTCGTCTGTGTCATCATTGCAGCAGAGCTCAAAGACTAGTGCTTTAACATGCTTCCCCAGTTTCTTCTTGGACACCTTGGTCACAATCTCAGTCATCCTATGAAGAGCAAAACGGAGGCAAAACATTATTTTCTGCAATTCTACATGCCTCACTTCAGCCCATATGATAATTCAGTATGTCTAAAAAAAAAAATAGGAAAAACAAACTCACGGCAGTTCCAGTCTCTCTTTAAGCTTGGCCGCAGGCATGAAGAAAGAGTAGAGCATGGAAACTCCCTGAGAGAGCATAGTGATCTCCAGTTTGTGTTCATTCTGAGGGAGGAACAGAGAGCGTGAATCACGAGTACACAAGATTAAAAAAACCCTACCTTGCCTGCTTCAACTAGGAACGGGCACAAATAATGCTAGGCGATATGGCCCAATTTCACAATATTTTTTGTGAAATGTCATTCCATATTTAAATCACAATATTCATGCCATACTTTTAATGGGGAAGGAAATGCATTCCACACATTTGCTCGAGAATTAATGTAAACAATCAAATGGCATCTAACGAAATGAATTCACAACTTTCTTAATTTAATGTTTTAAAATTGCAGTCCGTAGCTTTTTTTGAGTTAAAAATTATCCAAAATACATAACCTACCAGTGTTCAAAACTACCTGTTTGCCTTATCTCGATTCAAAGGGATTAGCTTGTATTAATGCTTTTAGTTCCAGTGGTACTGGTGGATATCCACGGGAGATTCGATACACAGGAAATATCTGTACACATAAAGGAGTCTCGGCTAGTATAAGTGATGATGTGTGTGAGGATGTTGGAGGTAGAGATTTATAGCCTTTTCTCACACCACTTCATATAATTAAACTTATCAATTTAATGGCGGACACAGAAAGGTTCAAACGACAATCACCAGTGACAACAGATTCACCCCATGTAAAATGCAAAAGAATTTGCTCGGACTTCCAAGCTGCTATAGAAAAAACAAGACCGCAACCAGACCCATATGGAAACAAGGATAATATCGGAAAGACATTATGTAGTCACGCAATGCTGACGTTGTTAACATTAACAATTTAAGAACGAAGTATAAATTGCACGGTTTTGAGTGATATGATAACTTATAAGTGATTGTAAGATATATTCAGCACGATTTACTGCAATGTCAGAACCAGAACAAAAGTTGATGTTTCTTACTAGTTTAGATGACCTTTTCTGGTGAAAATTCTTAAAATTCTTATGTTATTTCAAAAAGAATAATCTGTGTTTCTGAATGCCAGTATTGACACCGGCGCAGTGACCGACAGCCACAAACATTGTGTTCATCCCCTCTGTTCATTCGAGGGTGTTGAAGTATAACTCTTGTAAAGTTAATAATACCGCAAATGACTGCAATTACAGATTTCAAACAGAGATGGCGACAAAGAGGAAAAATGCCGGACTGCAGCTTTGAGTATTGAAATGAAAATAAATAATTTACAATAACTAGCATTTAGTTTGTAAGGTAAAAAAAAAAAAAAAAAAAAAAAAATTACTTGTATACTTTACAGTGTAAATTAAACATGGATAAAACAATGGTCTGGATTGTATGATTATCCTAATATAATTATAAAATGTCTTGATTGTATGATATTCCTTGTAGTTCTCAGAATCATAATATAATTATACATTTTACAACACAATAAAAATATAATTCTGTCATAATTTCTTCAAGTTATACCAAACGGTTCTGAACACTTCAAAACTGTTCATCTTAAAAACATGTAATTCATGGTCATGGATAAATAAATCGGTTGATTTATCTGTTGAGTACTCAAATGCAACCAACATCAAACATTACCTTGAAATAGTCCAAGAACTGTCGGAGTGTCATTTCTTCTCCATTGGACTGAATGCCTTTCACTTCGAAACGGTCCCAAAGCGTCCAATCAATCTCGTAGTACTGTGAAAGGCGGCGATAGTGTGAGAACACCGTAGTCATTTAAAGGGATGCCAACATCATTTGCATGTAATGGAGAACATTGCCACGTACCTTGTGCTTGGGGGCAGCTATGGGCTCAGAGAAGGCAAAGAAAGGTAGAGCAAGGTTCATGAAGCCGTTCTTGTAGGACTCAAGCTTCGTGTGTTTCTGAACGATCTTCAGCAGCTCCAGACACACCAGACCCACCACGGCAGCTGTCGTCGTGGCAATGGCTGGAATGATTTTCCCAGCAATGAGCTTGCTCTGAAACAATAAAATGAAAGGTGAGGATCTGCAATGATGGGACTTAATGCCCAAGACAGTTGAAAAACCATTTCAGTTGCCCTCTCGACCTTGTGTCTATCTGCAGGAGGAATATCATAGTTCTCTGCTCTCAGATTAGAAGCAGCTACAATGAAGTCCATATGGAAGTTTGTGTCATCATCCTGAGGAAGAGAAAATAATTAGCATTTTAACTGAAGTTAAGAAGTTCTACTGGCAGGGAAATTGGGGTCGAGTTATAAGCGGTACCTTTTCAAATTCAATTGGACAGAGCTTGAACTGAGAAGTCGCTTCTGAAGCAGGCAACAATGTCTTCAGTTCTTCAAGTCTTGAGTCATCTAAAAAGGGGCCGAGTTGAATCAATAATAGTGTCGTTTCACTAT